ACCAGTCACGATAGGACGATCTTGATCGACCCAACGTTGCCTAGTCGACCTGGGTTTCAAGTGTCCAACGAAGTGTTGACGAAAGCGTACACGCCGACGCCCAACGACTACAGCACGATCATGTCGCCGTCCGTGTCGTCGCCCCTTGGCGGGCTCGGGGACAACTTATTTACGCCGGTGATGAAGCTCCGTGGCCAGACATTCGACGACGTTTCTGGCCAATTAGTGCAGGACGAAGAGCGGATGCAAGGCGACGTGTCATTGTCCGTGTACAGCGAGTACCTAGATGCGGCGGGGGGGTACGGTGCCGTGGTGAGTTTGTTATTTGGGTTGATCTTGTGGCAAGCGCTCACCGTGGGCAGCGACCTGTGGTTGAACGTGTGGACAGGCACGGTTGCAACCGAGTCCCCTCAGCAGTTTTTAGCCCAAACGTGGTACTACTTGAGCATTTACGCCGCGCTCGCTTTTCTGGCGGTATTTGCGACGGTGATTCAGTCGCTGATCGTGTACAGTTCGTGCATGAAGGCGTCCAGAGCATTGTTTGAGCACATGACGGACGCGTTGGTCGCGGCGCCCATGAGCTTTTTCGACACAACCCCCGTCGGGCGCATCCTCAACCGATACACCAACGACATTGGCACGATCGATGTGAGCATTCCGTTCCAAGTGACCTTCATAGCGTCCTCCACGTTCGTCACCGTGTGCTCCGTGGCCACGGCCGTGTACATGACATCGTACATTGGCCTGGTGGTGCTGCCGCTGCTGTACGTGTTTGTGTTGACGGGGCGGTTTTACGTGAAACCAGCGCGAGAGCTGGAACGTGTCAACAAAATCACCAAGTCCCCACTCCTGAATTTGATCTCTGAGGCAATTGAAGGCGTGCTGGTCATCCGCGCGTTCGGGGACAACCAACTGCGCCGGTTCCAGCGCCTGCACTTTCGCAACGTAGACGCGACCAACGAATCGATGTTTGCCAAGGAAGTCGTGACCACGTGGTTTGTACTGCGCATCCAGTTTATGAGCGCCATGGTGTTGATGGTCGTGTCGGTGGCGCTCGTGTTCCTGCGAAGTCAGCTCACCCCCGGTCTCGTGGGGCTAGCGCTCAACTACATTTTCTCGAGTTTATCCATATTAGAGTACTTGATTCCATCGTACGCGCAGTTTGAAACGCTCATGGTTGGCCCCGAGCGTGTCGCAGAGTACTGTCGAATCCAGCCGGAACCCCCCCGCGTGATTTCCGGCGCCGTGGCCCACGACTGGCCCACGAACGGCGACATTGCGTTTACAAACATGGCGTTCCGGTACAAAGTGAACGACCCGCTGGTGCTCCAGGACGTGACTGTGCACATTCAATCTGGCGAAAAGGTCGGGATTGTGGGGCGCACGGGGGCCGGCAAGAGCAGTTTGACCATGGCGCTGTTCCGCATCAATGAACTGGCGCGCGGCAGCATCCACATCGACGGCGTCGACATCTCCCGCGTCGGCGTCAAGACATTACGGAGCAGCATTGCTATAATTCCGCAGACGCCCGTGCTGTTCAAAGGCACGTTGCGCAACTACTTGGATCCGTTTGACGAGTTTGTCGACGCCGACTTGTGGGGGTGTTTGCAAAAGGTGCGTCTGGCCGACCGCATTGCCGCCGTGGAGGGCAAGTTGGACAGTCCCGTGGAAGAAAACGGAGAGAACTTTAGCGTGGGCGAGCGACAGATGTTGTGCATGGCGCGGGCACTGCTCCGCCAAGCGCGCATCGTCGTGATGGACGAAGCCACTGCGGCCATTGACCACGAGACGGACCAGAACCTTCAGCGCGTGATCAGCACCGAGTTTGCGGCGTCGACGGTGCTCACGATCGCCCATCGACTCGACACGGTGCTGGACGCCGACCGCATTCTCGTGTTTGATCAAGGCCGGTTGGCCCAATGCGACACCCCCGCGGCGTTGATCGGGGCGGGTGTCGGCATTTTCTTTGAACTTTGCCATGAGGGCGGGTACCTAGACAAAGTCGTCAATTCCCAACCACTAGAGTAGAAAATAATAAGTATGCGGCCACTTGATGTGATTGATTACAATTCTCGATCACAAAGGACAGAATAATCCATACTTCAAAGGGGCTCTACGCAGTGATAGGACGGACGCTCACATATTGTAGGGTCAAATCAGTGTCTCCATCCCCATGGATATTAACGACGGATTATCCCCTCCCTACTACACTAGGGCCAAACTGCGAGCAGATTACCCTCCCAATATACAAATAGTACCTGTAACGTTAGCCCAATATCGACGGACACAGTGTGAACTTGTTTCACACGCCACTGGGAATCCCAAGCTCTATTTACCGAGCGGGTTAACCCGCTCGGACGGGAGGTTTTCCAAACGTTAGTATTTCTATTTACTAGTAACGTTACTAGATTTCTATTGGCCCTTGCAAATGAGAGGTTCTCTCATTTGAACTGTACTATTATAGTACTACGTAGTACATTGTTCCCTGGTTGGGGAAAAACCCTGGACGATTACACTGTATTCACATGTCAACCCTGAACGGCTTATTAATTTATCTGAATTATGACTTGCACCACGCAAAATACATTATGATTTGCAATAATATTATTACTGGAAATTAAATTGCACTAATCCATGTTGGTTTCGCTCAGGGGTGTACAGTACTCGGTTTGAAAATGACAACCCTGACAGTGAACGACTTCCCTGGATGCAACCGGAATACGGATAATTAACTAATCAAAATTAAGTCGCTCAGGGTTTTTTCAATGTCGGCGCTTGTCGACTTCGTGCGAGTTTTCGTTCACGTCAGGGTAATTCCCCGACCAGGGCCTTAGGCCCTTCAACGTTTCGTCCATAGTTCCAATCCATCCAAAATTTGAATCTGTCGCGCGCAGAACTCACTTTCAAATTACCTCAAGGT